TCAGTCACATGATACCTCCTCACATTCTCCTTTCCTATGAATGCCATCATTTGGAATGTGAGAGGTGTAGCTAGTGTAGCTACTCGTCGACGCCTGAAGAAACTTATACAGCTTCATCAGGTTTATCTTCTAGTTCTATTGGAGCCTTTTGTTCTGCGGCAGAATTTTGCATACACACGACGCTATCTGCGCTTCGACATGGGAGCTCAGAATGAATCGAATAAGATCTGGTTTTTCTGGAATTCGGGGACTAATGTTACTGTTATTGTTGATCATCCCCAGTTTCTTCACGTTAGAGTTGAGGATCCCAGACTAGCGCGTGCTATCTATTTGACTCCAATCTATGCGTCATACGATGCTACTATCAGGAGAGATTTGTGGGCGGGTCTTCACCACATCTCCCTCAATATGGACGATCCTTGGCTAGTTGGAGGACTCAGCGTTTGTCTGATGATGATTTGGGGCCTAGACCGTTCAGATTCCTCCATATTTGGACCAAGCACCATGATTTTTTAGCCTTTGTCTCCCAGAAGTGGTCGCTCCCTACTCATCTCACAGGGATGACCGCTCTTTGGGAGAAGTTCGTCAGGCTGAAACAGGGTCTGCGCTGGTGGAACCGACATGTATTTGGAGATATTTTCCAGCGGGTGCGCGATACTGAGGTCGGGGTTGACGAGGCTGAGATAATATATGATAGAGATCCTACACCGGAGCACCGTAACTTACTACATCAGGCCCAGGCAGTTTTGAACCGGACCTTGTCTATTGAGGAGAGCTTTTGGAAGCAAATGGCCGGTTCACGTTGGGCATGTGAGGGTGATCACAATACTCGATATTTTCATGCGATGGTTCAGGGGCGTAGGATCAAATAGCGTATCAGGTCTATCAGGACATAGGCGGGGGAAGTGTTATCTACTCCTACTGATATTCAGACCTCGGCTGTTGCTTTCTACCGGGATCTCTTATCTGCTCCTCCACAACCCTTGGACCACATCCGTTCTGATGTCATTCCGAGGCTATTGACGGTGGACGATAATCTGGCACTAAATCGCCCCCCTTTGATTCATGAGGTACGGGAGGCAGTTTTCAGTATTGATGCTGACAGTGTCGCTGGTCCGGATGGCTTCTCATCCCTATTCTTCCAGCATTGCTGGGATATCATTCAGGAGGATGTTTACAAGGCGGTATTGGATTTCTTTGATGGTGGTCATCTTCCACGGGGTTTTGCTGCTACTTCTATTGTCTTGCTACCTAAGAAGGATGGTGCTTGCAGATGGACTGAATTCAGACCAATCAGTTTATGCACAGTGTTCAATAAGATTATTACTAAGCTTTTGAACACTCAGTTGAGTACACTGCTACCGCGCATTATTTCCTCTCCATAGAGTGGTTTCATCCCAGGCCGTTTGATTGGCGATAATGTTTTATTGGCTCAGGAGCTTCTCTACACTTTGGATGATAGAGTGCGAGGGGGAAACACTATGCTGAAGTTAGACATGGCTAAAGCATATGATCACATGGATTGGGGCTTCATTTATTCTGTATTGGAGGCATTTGGATTTGATCAGATCTGGATTGACAGAATCAGGCGGTGCGTTTCGGAGTGTCGTTTCTCCGTACTCCTAAATGGCCACCCATGTGGTTTCTTTCCCTCCTTACGAGGACTCAAACAGGGTGATCCTATCTCCCCATCCTTGTTCATCATTGCAGCAGACTACTTCTCACGCTTGCTCACTCAGAGGTTTCAGCAGTATCCCAGTATGTGTTATCGACATGGAGGTAGTGCTCTTGTCTCACATCTCTCATTTGCTGATGATATGATCATCTTTGCCAACGGTCAGAAACAGTCTATCAGGAGGGTCTTAGACTGGCCAATTGGTGAATAGAGACAAGAGCGGTATTATACTATCCGCCACTATTTCATTCTTCTGCTGGAGACTGTGGCAGGATCTCATTCCAGTAGATGTTGTTATTCAGAGGAGAATTGGATGTCATTTGGCTTCTCGTTGTTCCAGACAGGCATCCACTAGTCAGATCAGACGACTAGAGATTTTGACTGGCTTCAGACATCAGCAGCAGCCTTTCACTTACTTGGATGTCCCCTTATTCAAGGGGACTAAGAGGAGCTTCCTTTATGATGACCTTATCCAGAAGAAAAGGAATAGGATATCAGGTTGGGCCTCACGATTACTATTGCCTGGGGGTCGTAT